GAGAAATCCAAGTATGAACCCTTTCTATTTCAGACTTGCAGAAACTTGAACTCTTGCTTAAACTCTATTTACAGGTCCAGCGTCTACCATTTCTTCACAGCTCAAACATGGCAATGGATATTTTGAGGGGAAATGATGAATGCATTGGTTTTGAGGATATCCTTAATGGTAAATACATTCTGGCTTTAATGTTATGGAAACATTTAAAGTTAAAATTTGGGAACTGTGAAGTTCTTTGCCTCTACTGAACAAAAGAATTAAACTCCCAAAATACAAACTACAAAATTAAATCCTAAAAGCAAAGAAGCACTGGGGAAGGAGAAATAAATGTAATTCAGCTGTAAGTTATGTGAAATATTGATCAAGACAGTATTTGCTTGTAGGCTGGGTTTCTAAAGGTGTAGATTATGCAAGTAGGTTGCATTCCTCTTTCCTCAGAAATTTCTAAAATACTCGTGCAGATTTTGTCAAGCAGAGGTTACAAAGTTTTGTAAGTTCTGTGATTAAGAAGAAATGTTAGAAAAGAGGTACAGAACTAATGAAACAGATACTTAGCAGGGGAAAGACTCCCTCAAATGAACTCAACAGGCTGCACTTGTGTGGTAGCCTTTGACTATTATTATGTGAGGAATAGAATAAACCTGGAAAAATGACTTTTGAACAAATTATTTCCAGCTGGTACTTGAGGCCATGGAAGGAGTCAGAGAGAGTATTTTGAAGTGGGATTGGAGAATGGAAATAGCTGGAGAGATAGGAAGCTGGAAATAAGACAAATCTAAATCTAAAGGCATGGTGTAAATCTGGGGTTATTTTCTGAGACAGATAGGTAGGGACCCAGGGAAGGAATCTTGGGCTATTGTGGTTCCACAGGGGTAATGTCAAACATAATTTGTAGAAATTTGGTTATTTACCATTGCTCACAACAAGCTGTTAGATTTTCTTATAGAGTGCTGAGGAGTGAGTGGATTACAAGTGTTTTTGGTAAAGCTTTATTTATCAGGAAGTGGACTAAATATTTTTGTTATCTCTGGAGGAATCAGAGGCATTAATATGTCTTATTTATTGAAGGAAAACATAATTGATGCGCCCATAAAGAAAAATATTTCTTCCAAACAGTCACAACTTGTGTTCTGGCCCTGGGATTGTTTTTTCATTTGTTGTAATTTTTTTTAAATTTTAATTTTTTGTATAGAAAAGAAGTTCATACTGACTGTATTGGTGTCTCTTGTGTCCTCTCCACTTTCCTTGGTAGCCTTTGAGTACAGTAGCTAATGTCAACCATACTTTACAGAATGAAGGAAATCTCAGAGGTATTTATGGATGTAGAATTTCTGTGAAACTAGGCAGTTGGGTGGAGAAATCAGGAGTATGTCCCAGCTAACAGAAGGGAGGACTGTGAGCACCTGTTGTGCAGAGAAGTTGTGTTGGAAAGAGGTGTAGGGCAACTATGGAGAAAAACTTCAGTCAGACTCGAGTTTTTTCAAATGCTAAACTTGAAATGTAATCCCTTTAAGATTTGGGCAGTTGGAGTCTGTGCTTATGCAGAACTGGTTGATTTTACTTGAAATGTGTGTGTGTACTTATGATAAGCTGTTCCACAATGTATATGTTTGTTTTCTGATCAGTGCTTTGGATAGAGACTTCTCAGTTACATATCTGCACTCTGCAACACTGTCAAAAATTGGTCAAGTAACTGTTGCACTAAGCATTATAATTAAGAGATATTTACTTTCATTAGCTGCTGTCTTTGTGGCTTGGTAAAGGCCTCATGCTGTCAACTTTTCTTTTTTCAGATCCTTCCCAGAGTGAGATTATGGGAGAACCACACATCATGATGGAGCACAAGCTCGGTTTATTGTAACAAAATATACTTCACAAAAATGTTTTGTGTGTCTTTCTAGCGCAGATCTAAGTACATGGTACTAAATTGACACTCACGGTGTTAAGCAGACCTAGTTATCACTTGCCTTCCTTAATGAAAAGGCACATTAAATGTTCAAAGTCCATAAACTGTTCTGTGCTTGTTATCAATCATATAAATGTCCTGTAACTAGGTAGTTTAAATAATGCCTTTTCATAAACTGCTCAGGACAATAGCTTCTTAAATATGGAAATGCTATACATGTATACAAGAAATTAAAAAATACCCAGGCATTTTAAAACTGACTACTGTGGTAAATGCATTTAATGGGGGAAGAGGAAGGTATTTTCCGTTGCATAACTCTTTGTTCATGAAAATTTCCATACACTTTTTAAACTATTGAATAAAAGTTTGCTATAAATGCTATTGCGTTCCAAAATATATTTATTCCTAAATTAAGAATCTCTTATCCATGACCCAGTGTTGTCCCTTTTATTGCAATATCTTTAAGGGTCTTGA